GAAAATAATTAAGTATATAGAACAATTTTTTTTTTAATTGCTTATTTCTGAAGAGTAGGATTAGGGATTGGGGAATTTTGCAGAAGTTATTTCTATACTGTTTGATTATATAAAAATTAGTGTGTGGTACTGCATGCTTTAAAAAAAAATAAGGGAGAGCTATCAGAAATACCTAAAGGAAAAAAAACCAAGAAAGAAAGTAGCGTGGGCATTAGAAATGGTCAGCTCTAGGTTCAAATCTTAACTATGCTGCTTAGAATTATATGATTTTCTGCAACTTACTTTCTAAATTTGAGTACTTGTTTTAAAGTACAGATAAAAACAAATTACCAAATTAAAAATACTACCCCATCGGGTTGCCTTAAAGATTAATGCATTAACATGTAAAAGGCCTGTTAGCACAATGCTAGGTACTTTTTTTCCCCCTAGCTTTTTGTTGAGACAGGTTCATACCTTGTTTCATGTAGTCTCCATAACAACCCTAGATGAGTATGGGAAAAGAAAGTGTTGTTTAAATAAACCAGAGGAATCTTTACTTTTGTTTTTCTCAGCAATGTGAGTACAGATGATGAAATTTTTCTTGGTTTTAGAAAATGAATAGTAAAATAGGGGGTGGGAAACAGCTATTTGATGCTTTGACTGAGAAAATTTAAGGAACACCAGGCAAAGCAGTCTAGGTTGCAAATGGTCTATGTATCCATTAAAATCTGAATAAAAACACAAAAGAATACTTTTTACACCTACACCTATATAATTATCATACAAAGCTATGTCTCAAATGCCACTTGATAAAACCTTTCCTTCTTAGTGAAGACATCCTCTTTTTCCTTTAAATTCACCTAATATTTTACATGAATGTCTTATATCACATATCATAGTCTCATTGGTGTTAATTACATATGTACAGAATTAATCTCCCTGAAGAGAGTGAAAGATCCTTGAATCCAACATCTGTGCCTCATTCATTTCGTTTGTCTGATACATTTTTAAATTAATCCTAGGTCTATCTCGTTTCAAACTCAATCAATGTTCTTTTTAACTGGACCATGAGCTCCTTCTAAAGCTTTTCTTCTGTTTTTAAAAGTTACCAGTTTAGTTTGAGATGGCTCCCTAGAGGAGGGTTTGAAGTCAAAATCTAGATGGAGAGGAGAGTCAGGTAAAAATAAGTTGGAACTGAGAGAGGTTAGCAATTAAGCATTTAGTTTCCTCAGAGAGCAAAGTTGATAGAGGAGTTTTCATGTTTAAATGAGGCACAGAATAAAACAATGTGGGTTCTGCTCTGAGAAGAGAATGACTCTCATGTGTTAAGGAGCCTTCGAAATACCCCGCTGACCAGGAGTGTAGAAAACAGGAATCGGTCAAAAATGGGAAGGGGAAAATAGGTCAGCAGCATGATTTCCAAAGCACAATTGTATCATAGTGGTATTGAAGACCATCTGGCTGATGGATGGTGGCCTGCTGACACCCAAGATGATTCAGCTAATCCTGATGGCTGTGTTCCCTTCCTCTCTTGCTGATCTTCAAACCACCTGTCCAAAGCTGCCTGTTTAGCCAAGGCTTCTCAAGAAGAATGATCTTTGTCCTTGAAGACCACAATCAATAGGTTCCATGGTGAATTATGCTTTACAGATGAACAAAAGGAAAAAGGCAAGGCTGGTGATTATCCATTTAACACAGCCTTTACAAAAAAAACCAAAAAACAAAATATTAAACAATGAAAAATGCTATTCAATCCCCACTGAGCAGTCTTTTCCAAATTTTCAGAATGTTCTAAACTCCCTGCCCTGGAATCCTCCAAAATCTACATAAAACGATAAAGTGATAATAAATTTTGTTTTATTTTTATACTATTTTATTTTTTTCATACCCATTATTTGTCTATCGTTTTACCCAAAGAGACAGAACCTTGGCAGTAGAAATTTATGTTTGAGCATAGGCTATCGATAAAAGTTAAATTAGTCAAGGATGTTATTATGGATTGGAAAAACAATTCTTATCAGATAAATGTTCCATAGTCTTACTCCCTACCCTTTTCCCTCATTTAACATGACAATAGAGTATATTAGTAAATGCAACTCTTTTCCTTTTAATTTGATTTAAGATTTTACTAAGCAGAGTAAATTAAAATAACAACAAAAACTACAGCAACTATACCTCTCTGATATAATTGAAAAAATTTTTTAATAAAAAATAAAACATATTGGTTTAAATTTTGTCATCCCCATAATTCTTAAACCAATGCTCTCTTCAAAAACCACAAAATGATTTATTAGTCTCATTGCCAGCCTAAATTCACAAATATTTCTTTCTGTAAAGTCATGTTTATTAGATTAACAAAGTGAATTTCTTCTACCTCCAATCATAAGCATTTTTCTAGGCTACTCGGAATTCCAGAAAGGCGGGGCACAATTAAAGATAAAATGGAAATTATGCTAACGGTGCTTCTGGGTAATCAACCTCTCCATTCTTCAGGAGACATGCTGCATCTTACTCAGTGTTCTAAAAAGCATGACTTCAGAGAAAAAGAAAAAAAAAAATGAAGGTTCTTGTTTCTATAATGATTTTCTAAAAGATTCAGCCTGTCTTGTTCAGGAATGGAACAAATATCTTGCAACCCAAGTCCACTTGAGCTCTTAAGTACTTCTTTCTTACGAGACACCACGGCGGTGGCTTCCTAATTGGGTTTCCTTCTTCAAGACATCTTTGACATTACTATTAGATCAATTACCTGCAGTAGAGCCCTGATCAGACCATTTCATTGTTTAAAATGCCTTCAACATTTCCAAGTGCCTAATGCATAAAATTCAAACCTGAGATCTAAATTCAAGCTTCTTTCATTTGACCTCAATTTATTTTTTCGATCTATTTTCTATGACACCCTGTCACATACCCTTATACTCTTTTTCCCATCCCACGCTCTGATTTTTCTTAGTTCTGTTTTTGTTTATGCTATTCTCACATTCTTATCCAACCATATTCATATTTTAAAATCCAATCGATCAGAAATAGCTGTTCTCCTACTAGGAAATACCATTCATCTTCTGTGAATTCCTCCTAAAGCTTTATCCCTTAGGGTGCTTTGTTTTAGTAATATACATGCCATATTTCCCCTATAAGGCTGTAAGGTCTTCGAGGGTAGAGATGATGTGCAATTAATCTTTGTATGCTCTATAAAGTAGATATTTGGTAAATAGCAGCAGAATGAATTGAATCAATAAGAAGTTAAGTATTCAACAATGAAATAAAGCATCAAGGACACAGTAGAAAATCCAAAATATGATTCCTGCCCTTTACTTATTCCACAAATATTTATTAAGCAATTACTATGTGTGAGGCACTAACAATTGAATGGTCAAGGAGACAATAAGCCTGGCCCTACAAAAGCATACAGTTTAATATGGTGCTTATAATCCTACATTCTTAAACATCAACAAAACAAGGGAAATACAAGTAACAGAATCCTTGATAAAACCATTTAGAAATGGCTCTTTTTCTATAAGACCCAGGTGACATCACGCAAAAGACAAAGGATAATTTTTATCTTTGAAATGAATCATGAGTATTATTTAACTATGAAGAGAGTAAAGATTACTAAAGAGAATGGTATGGGATGAAGCTGGTCATAAAAATAGCATCACGCATTTGAGCACTTACTATATATATTGCAGGCGCTATGCTTATTACTCTCTATACATTATTT